CTAAAAATTATAGTCGTAATTCAAGTTACAATTTCATCTTTTTTGTTGTTTTGCATTTAGTAGGGTTATTATGAATGACATTCATGTTTACCATTTGACTGATACAATATTAGCTGCATCAAGATACACAAATTATTCAAATTTTTCTTCACGACGCAACTAAGATATTTCTTACACGTTATCTTCGTTTCGTCTTTTTGCTTTGTTGTAACCCTACATAATATGTTTTTGGCTCATAGGCACCAAATCATACAAGAACGTAACCAAGGAGCTTTTGTTCTCTCTGCAATGGTTGGAACGTTTATTGAACTTTTTACTGTTCTTCGTCTCAGAGTAATTATGTACAATATAAACTTTTTCTTCGAAAGAAGATTAAGTGAGCCTGGTATCTCTTTCAATAAATGTTTGGCGGCAAATGGTCGATTTCTTTTTCATATTGGAAGGTTTTGACTCGAAGAACTGGAAGATTCTGTGAGCCAAAGTTCTGTCGCATTGTATCCCAAACCATCTTTTTGAGAACACTAATCCTCCATAGCAATATAATTGAACAAAGTTACTATTTATCAAAAGTAATTAATTTTGAACTTATTATATACCAATTAATCGCAAAATTAAGTTTACAGTATGTTCGCAAAGTCGGCATTTTTATTACATATCCTATATAAAGTAACATATTTAATTGGCTTACAATTTAATTGGCTTACAATCATTAACACAAAATATTGCTCACTGAGGAATGCAGTAGAAAGCAAGACGTACGCCTCTCTGCCACGTCAATCAATGCATCAACTTGTGTACTATAACTACATTAAACTTTTGTTCAAAGTTATTTGTTAACATATATAAATATTATTCTGATTGGTTTATTTACGAGAATGCCGGTCGAATATTCCTGTTTTTGCGACCCTGTCCGTAATATTCTCGGGTCTCATATTCAAATTAACAAGCCTTACTTTAACAAATGAACAAACTTGAATGCAATTACAAATACATTCTTTCATTAGTATTCTGCGGTGGCAGGCGTAGTTAAAAAATGTTTTGGTCAATTGTTGATTAGAAATTAACAATTTAAATGTTAATTGTTAAGTTAAGAGCTTGACCATTGTTTATGACTCAGACACTATGATACCGAATGAATAACATGGAACGGGAAGAAAAATCTTTCAACGGTCGCCGGAATACAAACACTTGAGTGGGTTATTGTTGCAAGCTATGCATCAATAATTGATTGATGAGTTAATTAATTGATTGATTGAGAGTTATTTGATTTTTAGAGGCCTTATACACTGGACTTGACCTCGACCTCGGCCAAAACTTATTAGTTTCGGTATTTGTTTATTAGCCCCTACGTTGAACGATTGGACTCGCCTGCTGGGCGAAAGGAAGCTAGTGGATGCACTGTACCTCAATTTTGCCAAAACATGTGACGGTGTTCCGCATGAGCGGCTGTTGCGTAAAGTGAAGTCTTTGGGAATAAAGGTAAATTTACTCCAATGCAGCAGAGATTTTCTAGTAAGTAGACGACAATGTGACAGTATTAACAAAACTATATCAGTTAATCATCAGTGCATGGCATCAGTGCACTGTGTCATCCCACCAGAAAGCGTTCTTGGGCCTATTTTGTTTGTTGCATCTATAAACGATCTGCCAGAAGTTATGTCAAGCGTGTGCCGCGGATATATGCCGGTGACACAAAGTTTATGGTACAGTTAAGGATGAGTCAAATAAAGTACAATTACAAGATGATCTTGATAGTTTAGTAAGAGACTATAAAATGTGCCACCACTGGAACACATCGGAAGAAAAGGAGTGAGAGCTGAATGAAAAAGTGAAGGAAGAAGCTACATTGTTTGGCTCTATTCAAAAGTTCCGTGGGTTCGAATTTACGATCGCCATCAACTTTCCAAACTATCAACGCTTTGTAAAATTCGGTACTTCATATCCTATATGTGGCTAACATTAAACCTGGCTCTTAAACTCGAAGTCAAAACCTAGGAAACAAACGTTGTCCTACTTTTTAATATTCAGTGAAAAGAACTTCAGTAAAAAAAATCAATCTCTTTGGCAAACTCTTGAGATAAAATATGAATTGCCAATTTTTGAACATAGGAAATGAGAATGTGGGTTAATAGTCAATTATTTGATTAAAATAAAAGATCGTTACATAACAGCTCAAATAAGAAGTCGAATTAAAGTAAATGCTTACGACAATAATTACATAACTGTAATCATCAATGACACTTTAAATTGCATCATTGAAAGCAAAAATAAGCGATGCGTTCAGCAACAAGTGATGAAAGAGACAAATGATAATTAATCAACTGATAATTGTTCAACATTTCTGGATGTATTCTTCAATTTGAAAATAAGGATTGATACTTATTTTTACACGGCTCTACACTATACTGATTTACTACATTGAAAAATGATTAAAGCTAATTGAATTTATCTTGCGTATTGAGAGTGAATAATTAGTTATGTAGACTAAGCTTATTTTTGTATTTTTGTCCTTAGAAAATGCACATTGTGCAACCTGCTTATCGTATGCATCGAAAAAATAGTGATCAATACGCATCATTGTTATCTGATGCATGAAAAGTGAGCAGTGCGCATTGAATTGATAATTTACATGAGAGATGAGCGTTGCAGTTATCCTTGATGTTTACTAGTGAACAATATCCACTGAACTAATCCAGTGCACGCATAAACGAGCGGAGTGCATCTAACTGATCCATTGCTTCAGAAAATAAACTGCATGCATCAAATTCTGCCGATGTATCACAGTAAATGTAAAGTGCTGTAAAAAATGTAAAATGGATGCTTTCTCAACAACTCAATTGCTCTGGCGCATGAGTAAGCCTGGCTTACCGAAGAGAACCTAGGAAAGATGACACTTTGTTTGAATGCTCTTATTCGTGATTGTTTGGTTTACTTATTTCTGGTGTCTCATTGATGGCCGGCGCTAGGCTTCGCTATTATTTCTCTCTCTATGCTCTATTTCTGTAACCTTAGTTACAGTTTGTCTGGTTTGTCTAGACTCTAGAAGATGTTTGTCTTGAAATTTTTGCCATATGCAGTGAGCCGTTGACCTCCAAAAATTCTGTGCTATCCTGGAATTTTTTCCAGTTTAATGAATGAGTCCAAAAAAAAAATCCATTGCTGAAAAGATGAAACTGCAATTTTTCTATCAAAATTATTTTATCGCGGATACCAAGCTTTTTTAACTTCGCATGTAGACGTTTCTCTTTTTATGAAGAAACTAAAAATAATTCAGGAAAATTTTAAACGTCTATTGAGTAGAATTAACTTACTTGTTTAGTTTTCATTCAAGCATTATATTTCATCACAATAATCTGATAACTGTGATAAAAAGTGTAATATATTGTAGGCGTTTTAATTCGAATTATCTATTTCATTTCATGTGATACTTTTTTTCCAATACTGCGACATCACTTTTATAATTCGCTTATTCTGACTGAGGCGCTCAGTTCTTTTAAATTGAAAAAGCAAACGATTTATTTCTGAAAATAAAAACCTTTGTTGGTGTAGTTCGTATTACTCTCTCGCTTCGAGTATTTTTCACTTATTACGCGTACTAAACCAAACGAATTTATTGGATTTAAAATTGCTGCATTGTTAGTCATAATCGATTTATTGCAGACATCAACGGTAAATTTCTCGGCCCTCCCACCAGTTCCAAAATCTATTGGACTAGAACAGCTGCGAATAATTCTGTGCAGCTGCCTCGTAAATTTAGTGTTTGCTCTAGAAAAGTGATGAAATTCTCGAGGTTTCGGTCTCTTGAGCTTCAAGATTTTTTGGCCTTTGCTCGGGATTACGAGGCTCAGTCAGATTACTAGTAACCGCAAGGGAGGCGTTCTCCGTTATAGAAGCAATCAAAATATTCATGTCTTAAAAAAACGCGACCCGTTCTGAATACGTTTTTTTTTTAAAGAAAGCTTTGTCAACATGAATGTCAGGACCGTGGAATTTCATATGTCTAAATCATGTAAACCCTTCATAGGAACTTTTGTCCTCTAACCAAATTTTTCGCAACGTTTGCGTGGTAAACCAACATTGCATCTTAGAAGAAAATTTTACAGTGACCAATAAATTTGGAAGCAGCTACAAGCAGCGACTGTTCTGTTTGCGAAAATGTATGCAAATGATATTAGCATAGTCACAAATTCGGCCCAAATTGCACCATACAATGCGACGCCATGAATATACAAACAAATTTAATGAGATGAAGTAGCGGTTTCAACGAAATTAATTGTGGGACAGACATTGCAGTTCTCATCCACACCATGTCATTGCAGCCAGTCTTGTTGAAATAAGCTCTTGTTCTCATGTAATTCCTGCAAATGTATAGTAACTTTGTATGCATTTTATTCAAGTGTGAGAGGTCGTGTGCATCCCGAAAGTTATGATTAAACTTTTTACTCAAGTTAAAAATTGTAACTCACAATAAACTCTGGTAAGGCTCAACGCAGCCAAGTTTGAGTTTGATCTGTGATACGTTTTGTGGTGCCGACATTGTTTCACTTGGCGCAAAATATCACCTAAAAATCCAATTATTTTAATACTAAATTCCACCAGGCAATAAAAAACGTAAGAGGATTAACTTTCAGCTCGTTAAACACGGTTTTGGCCAGCTGCAGTTCCCAGAATTTGCAGGAAAATATTTCCCTTCCAGAACTGTTCATTCATAATAAAAGTGCAATTTTCCTCGATATTTTTTCAGGAATAGGAAGGGCGTAAAAATATTCGTTATTTGTGTAGCCGTCTAATATCTTATGGCAAGATACTGGTTCCGGCAGCAGAGTTCCCAGAATTCTTACGACGATTTTAAATCACGCTCAATGCCATTAATTGAATTAGATCTTAACATCACACATTATTAACAAATCATTGCTTGATTCACTGCAACAATTTTTTACGTAAGATTTACCTATATTTTGCTTAACAATATTCCAAGATTATTTATTTGTTCATCACAGAATCGTTCTTTGCTTCTCTTGCCGTGGTTGACATCATTCGGCATGGTCGTGGTCCTGGATGTGGTCTACATCCCTTACTCCTTCTACTTCATTCTCGTGAGTATTTTAATATTCACTAGATATACTCTTGTGAGAAAACTGCTTATTCTAATTATTTAGAATACATATTATACTCACATTTTCATTCTAATTATTTAAGATACAGATTATACTTACATTTGCATTCTAATTATTTGCAATAGACTTTATGACATAAACTGTTATAATTACACATTAAAATATATTGTAATTTTAATACTTTCTAATTGGAATGAAAAAATGAGCACATCTGAAATTTAAAATAACAAACAAAAGTAGTCTTAGACCATTTTAATTTTCATTTTTTCACTGACACAAAATAAATTCCACCTGAAAGTTTTCATGTCATCATGCGTGATAAGCTCAGCGAAATATTAATTATAAATACATTTTACGAGTAATTGAGGATGACGCTGTTCGACTTCGTGTTTTATATTAACCTTTCGCATCATTTATAATAGTACAGGTTTAATACTGTAGGATATCTACTGCTAAAAATCAGAAATGCAACTTGATCGAAAAAACTTTTGAAACTTTCCATATCGATACAAAAAAAGCAATTGAAATCCTATATAGAAAGCGAAAACTCAGAACAGATAAAGTGCGGTGCTACAACATCCTTGCAAACACGTCCCCACGGACGAGTTTGCTGCACAAATTCCAGAGTTTGGAGCGCCCACTCGATTGAATGCAAAACTTGCGTCCTTTCAAGCAGAGCTAAAATTCTCTGGAGAAGAGCTCGAGTCAACAGAACGTTCCGCTCGCAAAAAACAGAAGACTGTAAATTTGTATTACTTTATTTATTATAAATTATTTATATTATAAATTTTAATTTATATAAATGCTAAATTAATTTTCCATTATGATTTTGAATAATATAAATTATGTCAGGAATACCTGAGTTCTATTACTCGTATACGCTGGATTTATCTGCACTAGATTAACCACAATAGCTACTAATTGTTCCCTTAGAAACGACGAGAAGAACTTCAACCTTAGAATAGACTATGAGCATAAGAATAGACTAAGAGCATTTAAAAAAATTGCCTCTCAGACGCCAAAAATTTACGATTATTTGAATCACAGAAACAACAATATCTCATCAGTTAATTTCAATAACATGAGATATTGATACTAGATAATTTCTAGTCATATTTGCAAGTTTTTCTTTAAATAATAGGAAATTTTTTAAGTTTAGTAACCGTATTTGACAAATTATTCAATAACAATCGGCTCATTCGATGCTGAAATTTTGAATAATTCTCGTGAGTATGCATATTAATTATATCTCTAGTCTTACTTTTTGTATTTTTTTCCGAAATTCGAATTTTTTTCACGTCCGCTGGCCAAAATACTTCTAGTACAAATATACCTTTAACGTCTGTTTGCTCTAAATTATCTATTCATTTGTCAAGTTCAGGTCAACTAAAGAAGCAAATTTCATCAATAAGATATATGCATTGCGGTTGCCATACAGCTTACTAGTGAGGGTTAAGCGTATACGATGTGAAACACTATGTTAATTGGCATCGTTAACTCACTATCCCCTCGTATATGTAACATCGAAAATCCATAAGACACGTTTTTCTGTATCACACAAATTTTTTAACTTCTGCCAAAGAAAAAATATTTCTTGTTAATGGTAAGAAATTAAACCCAATGTTGTTACAAAAAATTTATTGTCTTATAAACTATTGATTTATGTTTTCATTTAATGTTTTTCCCTTCAAGTGCGTGTTTGGTTACCTGCAAAATAATGTATTGGTTTTTATCTTATAAACGGTTTTATTACTGCATAAGATGTTCTCAGATACTAACGGGATACAAGGTACAGAATGCATAGAAAAATTTCACAAATAATCGTCAATATGATCAATACATTTTAAATTCTGAATTCTTTCAATAATAATTATAAATTAATTCTCATAAAACAGTCAAGCCAAGAACTATTAAATACGTGTGAGCAGGACTGCCCTCGGACTGAGGGTCTAGCCGCGGTAAATCTGATAGTTGCTTCAACATTTATCTTCATTACCCTCAGTATGATATATTAAACTCATTT